CCAGCGCTCACCTCTGGCCCTGCGGGTGGCCCTGACGGTGACAAAGACCACGGTGACGATGATGGCGATGACACCGAGGGTCACCAATGGCACGAGGAGCTCCGGCCTCAGCCCGGGGTCACCTGGGGGGAGGGGACACCGAGGGGACATTGAGGGGACATCGAGGGGACACAGAGGGGACACAGAGGGGACATCGAGGGGACATCGAGGGGACACCAAGGGGGGTGGCCTCAGGTCACCCAGAGTCTTTTGTCACCTCTGTCACCCAATTTGGGGTCACCCAGTGTCCTTTGTCACCTCTGTCACCTGATTTGGTGTCACCTGGAGCTCCCAAAACCTTTTGTTACCTCATTTCCTGAGTTTGGGGTCAAATTTTTGTCACCTCCGTCCCTTGATTTTGGGGCTGAATTTGTGACCTCATCACCCATTTTGGGGTGGATTTTTGTCACCTGATCACCCGAATTTGGGTGGGTTCTGTCACCTGATTTTGGGGTGGATTTTTGTCCCCTGATCACCCGAAATTGGGCGGGTTCTGTCACCTGATTTTGGGGTTGAATTTTTCTCCTGATTTTGGGGTGGATTTTTGTCCCCTGATCACCCAAATTTGGGCGGGTTTTGTCATCTGACTTTGGGGTTGAATTTGTCCCCTGATCACCCGAATTGGGGCGGGTTTTGTCATCTGATTTTGGGGTTTTTCTGCGGCCGAGCAGGAAGCGAAGGGCAGGAAATGCCGCTCAGAGCCCTGATTTGCCTTATTTGTACCTAAAACAGCCGGGGGCTGGGTTTGGGGTCAGAAAAAACCCCTAAAAATCTCCTCGGTGACTCCAGAATTCCGGGATTCTGGGGTTTTAGGATTCTGGGACATTGGGATTTTAGGATTCCAGGATTTGGGGGTTCCAGGATTCTGGGATTTTGGGATCATTGAGGTACTGGGATTTTAGGATTCCAGGGTTTTGGGATCCCACAATTCAGGGATTTTTGGATGCAGGGATTTTGGGATTCTGGGACACCAAAATTCATGGATTCTCGGGTTCCTGGACACTGGAATTTTGGGATTCCTGGACACCGAAATCCAGGGATTTTGAGATTCCTGGACACTGGGATTTTGGGATTTAAGTCACCAAAATTCAGGGATTTTTGGGATTCCTGGACACCAGGACGCCGGTATTCCTACCCCACTGTCCATCTCCGCACTGGTCAGCCTCGAAGGTCACCTCACGCCGGCTGACGGCGTTGCTGGCGGTGCAGACGCAGCCCAAGGGTCCATCCCGCGGCGAGTACGAGAGGTTGAGGGCGGCGCCGGCGGCCGAGCAGACCCCGCCGGTGGCGTTGGCCGGACCCCGCCACGAGAAGGAAACGCCGTCGCCGCGGCCGGAGGAGCAGCGCAGCCACAGAGAGCAGCTGCCGTTGGACACAGCCCGGCCCAGGACGCGGACGGAGAGCTCGGACACCGGCTCTGGGAAAATGGGAATGAGGGGGTTTGAGGGACAGTGGGATGGGGGTTTTACACCCCAAATCCCAAATTTGAGATGGGAATGACAAGGTTTGAGGGACATTCCCAATTCCAGATATGAGAGATGGGAATGGAGGGGTTTGAGGGACATTGGGATGGGGGTTTTACACCCCAAATCCCAAATTTGAGAGATGGGAATGACGGGGTTTGAGGGACATTCCCAATTCCAGATTGGAGATGGGAATGATGGGGTTTGATGGACATTGAGATGGGCACTGTCCACCCCCTTGACCATCATCCCAATTCTGGATTTGAGAGATGAATGATGGACATTGAGATGGGCATTTTACACCTCAATTCCAGACCACTCCCATTCTGCCGTTGGACACAGCCCGGCCCAGGACGCGGACGGAGAGCTCGGACACCGGCTCTGGGAAAACGGGAATGATGGGGTTTGAGGGACATTGGGGTGGTCACTGTCCACCCCCTTGACCATCATCCCAAATCTGAGAATTGAGAGATGGGAATTCTGGGGTTTGAGGGACATAGGGGTGGGCGTTTTTCACCCGCTTGGGCACCATCCCAATTTCAGGTTTGAGAGGGGAATGACGGGGTTTGAGGGACATTGGGATGGGGGTTTTATATCCCAAATCCCAAATTTCAGACGCGGGAATGACGGGGTTTGAGGGACATTGAGGGACATTGGGGTGGGCGTTTTACACCCCAAATCCCAAATTTGAGAGATGGGAATGCCAGGATTTTCTGGACATTTTCCAGCCCCTTGACCACCCCCATTCTGCCATTGGACA